ATTGATTCCCCTATTATTTATTCACGTTTACCTTTGTATATTTCTCTTAACCCCTGTGTTCGAATTTCAAAGGTTTTACACAGCTTTGGTCTTTTCATGTGGAATGCGTGGAAGTCCTCTATTTCATTAAAAACCATTTTTTTGGGGCAGCTAGGTGGCACAGTGGATAGAGCACAGGCCCTGGAGTCAGGAGGACCTAAATTGAAATCCTGTCTTAGATACCTAACACTTACTAGCTGTGTGACCCTGGGCAAGTCACTTAACCCCATTGCCTAGCCAAAACAACAACAACAACCACCACCACCCTATTTTTCTTCTAGTTTGATTATACTTAGTTTTGCTGGATAAGTTATACTTGGCTATAAGCCTAGATCTTTTTGTCTTTTGGAATATTATATTCAGAACTCTGTGTATCATTATGGTAGTGCTTTTAAATTGTGTGTGACTTTTACAGTGGCTTCTCAGTGTTTGAGTTCTCTGTTTCTGGCTTCTTGTAGTATTTTTATTTGATGTGAAAGCTTTGGATTTTAGCTATAATGGTTCTTACATTTTAGTTACTTAATATATTTTGTATATCAGACTTTAATCAAAGAAATTTTATGCAAGCATTTTTCTCCTGCTTAACTCTTTCCTTTCTAATTTTAGTTGTTTGGGATTTTTTTGGTGCAAAAAAAATAAAATTTATGTAATGAAAATTTTTCTTTTTATCCTCCACTATCTTCTCTCTCTCTTTTTTTCTTTTGGTCATGAAATCTTCCTCTTGCTGGGAAAGACATTTTATTCCTTGTTCCTCTGATTTATCTGTGATGTGAACTTTTATGTCTAAGTATTGTATCTATTTGCTACTAAGCATATGGTCTTGCAATATTGATCTTAACCTAATATCTTTTAGATTGCGTTCTAGTTTTTCCTGAGTTTTTTTTTTGAAAGGTGGAGTTTTACCTGTATAGTTGGGTTTTGAGGTTTATTGAACATGATACTACAATGTTCATATGCTTCTGTATGGTATTAACTCATCCATTCAATTGATTGACCTGTCTGTTTTTTAAGTTAGTATTAAATAGTTTTAATGGTAACTGTTTTGTAGCATACTTTGAAGTTTGGCATTTCTTTTCCCTTGTTCTCTTCATTATGTTCCTTAAATTTCTTGAGCCTTTATTTCTCAAGATAAATTGTGTTATTATTTTTTTCTAGGACTCTAAAGTATAATCCTTTCATTATTTGCGATGACACTGAATAAGTATATTAATTTGTGTAGGATAACTATTTTTATCATATTATTCCCTTAAAATGTGTTTTGTAGTTATATTCATTGTACCTTTGTGTCTTGGTAGGTAGATTCCTCAATATTTTGGAAATTCATAATTATTTTTAATGGGATTTCTCTCTCTCTCTTCCTGCTGATTCTTTTTGTTTCTGGAAATATACAAAAATTTTTATTATGTGGGTTTTATATCCTGCAACTCTGCTGAATTTATTAAGTTTTAGTTGACGCTTTAAGGTTCTCTGGAAAGATTATCATATCATCTGCAGAAGTGATTGTTTTGTTTCTTGTTTGCCTGTGTTTATTTTCCATAATTTCTTCTCTTTGTGTATTGATATAGTTAGCAAGTTTACAATTAAGTCACATGATGATGATGATGATAACAGCTAACATTTATATAGTGTTTATGTGGCCAGGTATTTTATGATTGTCTCATTCAATCTTCACAGCAATCTTGAGAGGTAGGTACTATTATTATCATTCTGTTTTACAGATAGTAGTGCTGATGCAAACAAAGGTTTTAAGTTACTTGCCCAGAGTCATAGCTAGTAAGTGTCTGAGGCCACATTTGATTCTTTTTTTTTGGCTAGGCAGTAGGATTAAGTGACTTACCCAGGGTCACACAGCTAGTAAGTGTTATGTGTCTGAGGCAAGATTTGAACTCAGGTCCTCCTGACTCCAGGGCCGGTGCTCTATCCACTGTGCCACCTAGCTGCCCCGTGAGGTCACATTTGAACTCAAGTATTCCTGACTCAGGCTTTATATGCTTTAATTACTGTGCCATCTACCTAATAATGGTGATCGTAGTCTGGTCATCTAGTATTTCATTATTGTTTGCCATATTAGGAAAAGATTTTTGCTCTTCTTATGGTTTTTGTTGTTTTTAACGAAAACATTGAATTTTGCTAAAAAGCCTTTTCAACATCTTTTGAGATAATCCTATGGTTTTTAAATGTTCAGGTGGCCTATTTGTGCCCAACCTGTGGTAGAGTCTTCTGAGCTTTTATTGATCTGATTAGTGACAGTTGGACGTACTGCCTTGACTCTGATCCTCTTGGAGAACAAAGGGCAACAACGAAACAACCATGGTTTTCATTATTTTTGTTTTAAATATGTTCTATTATGTTTATAGGAAGGGAGGCAGCACAGTGGCTAGAGCATTTGGCTTGGAATCAGGAAGCTTCATCTTCATGAATTCAAATATGGTCTCAGACACTTACTATCATTGTGACCCTGGGCAAGTTACTTTAACCCTGTTTGCCCCAGTTTCCTCATCTGTAAAATGAGCTAGAGACAGAAAATGGCAAACCACTTTAGTGTATTTGTCAAGAAAACCCTAAATGAGGTCACAAAGAGCTGGACACAACTGAAAATGACTGAACAATTATGTTTATAGTTTACCTTATATTAACCACAACCCTCTATTCTTGGTATAAATTCAACCTCATCAGGGTGGTATAATATTTTAATATGTTCATACTTATTGATATTTTTATGTCAGTATATGTTAAGGGTATTGATTTATCATTTTCTTTTTCTGATTTGTCCTATAAAAGGACAATTTTTTTTCTTTTTATGTAATATTGGAAATAATTCTTTTGCATATTTAATGGAATTTACTTCTAAATCTGTCTGATTCTAGGTATTTTTTCTTTGAGAGTTTGTTAATGGCTAGGTCAGTTTCTTTTTCTGATATTGGGCTTAAATTATTCCCTTAATCTAGACATTTTACATTTTTATTAATCCTCCAATTCACTTAAGCTATCAATTTTGTTAGGATACAGTTGTCAAGATTAGTTTCTGAGAGTTTCTTTTGTTCCATATTCAATTGTTGTGAATTCTTTTTTAAATGCTGATGGTTGGCTTTACACTTTTTCTTTTAAAATCAGATGCTTCATTTTTTTAAGCTTAGTGTTTTTGTCAATTTAATATTTTAAATAAGTTTTCATTTTTGTGAATTGCTTTGATTTTCAGAATTTCTCATGTGGTTGCAACTTTTTGTCTGTCACTTTCGTTTTTTTTTAAATTTGTGAGGACAATTTTCTGACCTTTCAATAATGAAAGTATGGAAAGATATAAAATTTCCCCTAAGAACTATTCAAGTTACATCCCAGAAGTTTTGGTATATTGTCTACTTGCTTCTTCATCGAAATTTTCTATTGTTTCTATGACTTCTTCTTTGACTTGCCAATTCTTTAGTGTTAATTTGTATCCAGCAAATCCAATTAATTTCCTTTGTTTAAAGGTCTTTTATTTAACATGATTTTTTATTTGAATCAATAAAAAATATGCTTAATATTTCTGTTTTCTATATTTGTAAGGTTTTTATGCCCTTATATATGATAAACTCCTATAATGGTGCCATGTGCAGCTTTCAAATATGTATAATCTGTATGTGTGTGTATGCGTGTATCTATATTTCTGTTTACATTGAGTAATCACTAGAGATCTGTCATATCTAATTGTTCTAAAATTCTTTCATAAATAAAGTACTAACAGGGAAGAAAAACTCAGTTGCAGATGGATTTATGATACAATTTTATCAAATATTCAAAATAAAATAATTTAAGCTATGCAAATTATTTATAAAAACGGAGAAGGAAGACATCTTATAACCATTCATTCTAAAAGACAAATATGATCTCGATTCCTGAGTAAAGGAAAGATAATACATTGAAAGAAAACTATAGATTATTGTCACTAATGAATGTTAACACAGTCATATTTAACAAAAATATTAACAGATTAAACAAATTTTTAAAAATTCACCTCTGATCAGGCTGCATTTTTGCTTGAAATTAAAGCCTTTTTCAACAATTGGAAAATATCCAAAATAATATTTTTAAAATGTCATATAATTCTACCAGTAAAATATCCACTGACAAAATATAGCACTTATTTCTGTTTAAAAAGAGGAGAGAAGTGGTGATTTAACTGATTCTGAGTGGTTCCATGGGACAGAACTAGTGGTAATAGGTGTAGAAAGTTAGATTTTGGTTTGATGTAAGGAAAAAGTCTTAAGAATTTAGAGAGTTCCATAAGTGGAATGGATTTCCCTTCACTGGATGTCTTTAAGCAAAGGCCTAAAACATCGGTATATGTTTACAGATTCTTGTTCTTGTACAGGTTGGTCTAGATATCCTGAAGTCCTTTTCAGTGCTGAGATACTGTGCTCCTTATTATTTATTTGCTTTTTTCTAAAACTTTTATGTGTGTGGTTTATTATTGTCAAAATCTTATCTTGGAGCAGAAGGCTAATTGAATTTTAATTTTCATTTCCTTACCCAGAATTGACTCTGGCCATAATTCAGGGTTCAAGAATTTTAAGTTTTGTAACAAAAGATCAGAAAAGCAAGGCCTGATACCCTTTTTTAAATATCAGGATTTATTTCAGAACACAAAAAGAAAACCAATAACAGAAACCTAAATTGCATGTAGAGACATTTGAATCTAACATTTAAGTCTTTTATGCTTCCTGTAACTGCCTATAAAGGAGTCTTTCTATGAAACATTTCAAAGGATTGCTCAAGGGGGAGCTTCTAAGTAGCTACTCTTCTGCTTCTGAACATTGAAAAATTCTTGGGGAGGTGTATGAGCGTAAGTGATAATAAAGATAAAGACAAATTAGAGTTTATATGCTGAAGATGGAAAGGATTATTTTGGTGTTAAATTTTAGAGAAATTATTATTTTTCCCCCAAAGCAGTGTGTTATGTGATTTGTTTTTTCTTTTAACAGAAAAAAATTCATGCAGTGCCATGTTCTCCTGTATCCACAACTCATATCAATTTGCCCAACTTAAACAATAGCAATCCAGTTATTCTTAAAGATGGAATTAGTATTCCTGGGACAACTGCTGCAGTTATATCCACAGGTAAAAAAAAAATGTGTATAGAATTGCTTATCTTGAACACTGTTTTATTTTAAATGTTAATTTTCTCTTAATATCTCTGAAGTGAAGGGAAATATGTAGTTTCAAAATAGATCCAAAGTCGTTTGTCTTAACATTTTTCATATTCACTTAACTTGAAACCCTAATTGGAAATCCATTTTCTAAACATAAAAAATTTATCGTTCATGTTGAGGAATAAAATTGGGAGAGTATATTGCAATGTATCAGCCTGAAAGGAGGCTTCCCAGAAGAACCATAGGATTATGCAATCAGAGATTTAGAGCTGGAAAGGTCCTTAGGTACCATCTAGTACTCTCCCTTCATTTTACAGATGAGGAAGCTACGGCTCAAAGAGGTTTTTTAAATTTCCCAAACTAATGATCAGGACTAGCTAAAAGGGAAGAGAAAAAGGAGAAATCTACCTGACTGGGAGGGGAAAAGAAGGGATAGAAACACTTAACCAGATAAAAGCAGAAAAGAAGAATGCATAAACAAACCCTAAAGGATTGGTAAATAATAAAGAAGAAGGGGGCAGGAGTGATGGGAAGAGAGCCAGTGGGAACAGGACCACCTTAAAAAAAGACTAAAGTACTTTAAAAAAGGTAAAGTAATAATACTCTAAAACCCTTTTTTTCTGGTTCATGACTCCTTTAATCACCTGGTCTCTTACTTTTCTCTGTGTTCTTGATAGAGTCAAAGCACTTCCAGGTTCTACCCTTTAGGCACTTTTCTGCCACTACCTTATAGGGCTTACTCCTCTTTTCTTCTTTATTGTGTCTCACTCTCAGAACAATGCGAATTATTGCAGGTGTCAAGAGAATTCACTACCTATGCTTGGTGGGCTAACTTCTCCTCCACCCCCCCCATCCATATTATTGACCTTTTTCCCTACATTTGCTGGGAAATCTCTTCCCTGGATCCATGCCCTCCCACTCCTCTTAGGCGCCAGTTGCCTCCAGGAGTTCCACCACTCCTACTCCTTAACCCTCTCAAGTAGATTTTTCAGGCCCAGACCTTATCCACGGTAAAGTCCTCATCTCTTTTCATCCATAACTCCATCCCACCTCTTTCCTTTCCTCCCCTTTTTAATCTTTCCCTCTAACTTCTCACTCACTGTCCTGTAGGTTTTTCTGTACCAATGAGACCCCTCATGGAGAGTCATGATTTGATCTTGGCGCATCACCCACTCCTCTGTATTCCCCTGCTTCCCTTCCCTCCTTTCATGAACCTTCCCATGTTGCAACACAGTCAGTTTCTATGAAAGGAGCATTCACCTGTAGTCTGAGTGTTGCCAGCTTCTGCCTGTAATTTCGCTCCACACCCCTTCACTATTGCCTCTCCTAGATTTCTACCTTTACTTCTTTCTCCTTGTGTGCTTCTAGAAAGAAGTCTTCCACTGATCTTTCCATTGTTAACTATTGCTGTCTGTTGCAACAGTTAACTGTTGCATTCATTCACTCTTCCTATACATTTCTGTTGTTTGGGGTGTTCACATTATAAATAAATTCTTCATTTCTAGCTTTTTTTCTAAAAATGTTTCAAACTCTTTTGTTATTGAATGTCCATCATTTGTCCAATTTGTTCAGCTTAGATTTACAGGATAGATCACCTTGAGCTACATCTGAGCTCTAACGATTTTCAGAACACATTATTCCATTTCTTCATCCTTTTTCTGCATTTCTTGCATTTTTTAGAATGGCCTTTCCTTTATATTTGAAGGTCTGTTTCTTGATGGTTTGCAGAACTTATCATTTCTAAATTGTATCATTAAATTTCACTACTATGTGTCTTAGAGTTTGCAGCATTTTTTTCTGGAGGCACTCTAAGAATTCTTTCAATTTCTACGTTCAGGAGATCTGAGCATTTCTCTTCTATTATTTCCTCATTGTGTTAAGGTTTTTTTCTCCTGTAATATTTTTCTGGGAGTCTCTACACCTCCTGTCTTTGAGGTCTTTATGTTTTGCTTGCATAGTGAGCATATTTTCTTTTAATATTACTGTTTTTTTCTTCTCTTCTTCTAGATTGTCTTTCATTTCTGTGAATTTGCATTCCCAGTCTGTTACTCTCTTTTGATTTTGTTTCAGTATTTCTCTTTGACTCCTGAAGTAATTTATTTCTGGTCTATTCAGGTTTTTGAGGATTCCATTTCTTTGGCAAAGTTTATTACTTGATCTTCTCAGTTACATAGTCTCCTTCCAGCTCTTTTCTCAAGAGCTTTCATTTTATTTTTTCGTGTCTCATTTCATTTCTTGTTGGTATTCATATTTTGAAATATCTGTTTTTTCCTTTTGAGTTTTTACTTGTAGTTGCTATGGAGTTAGATTTGTGATAACTTTTGATAGTATGTAATGTTTCCTTTGATTTTATCATTTCTTTAGCTTTAGTTATGAATTGGTTTTTGTGCCAGGGCCAGGCTCCATCCCAGACTTCACTTTTGGGTGGAGTGATTGGCCCTGCTTGATTTTGCTAAGTTCTTACATTGCTCTGTACTTCCTGACATTTGGCACTCACCAGATCTTTGAAGCTCAAAGTGTTGGATCTTTAGGGCCCTCTCAAGAATCTCTGGACAGAGTATTAGGGACCTCTAAGGCCATTTTTTCTAGTTGGAATCATACTAGTCTCTTGGCAGTTCTGGCATGGAAGAAATAACTGCATGTTCTCTTTGTATTTCTCAATCCTTATTTAGTTTTATTTAAACGCCAAGGCTTTTGGGGAATAGCTTTGTGGGAGCTGAGTAGCAAGAAAATCCCAAATTAGATAATATATCAAAGAAGAGCAATTTTAGGGCCTATAAGAAGAATTGTTGTGGAGAATAAGTCTTGGCCCTCTGATTTCCTATTTCTTTTAGATGCAGATTGAGGTAGTGACTGTAATACTGGAAGTTTGAAATTACAAAACTCATAGAGGAAAGTCATGCCATGCATTGTTTTCTTCTTCCTTTCTTCTAAACATCCATATTTCTGTCAAAGGCACTACCATCCTTCTATTCTACCAGCTTCATAATCTCAGAATTATCCTTGTTTCCTTACTCTTTCTCACCCCACATATCCATTTGTGTAATTTAGCTATATTTACCTTCACAAAATTTTCCCATCTGACCTTTTCTCTCTACTCATGTAGTTACCCTTAGCTTAGGCCCTCATTACTTCTTGCTTAGATTGTTGCAACAGCCTGATTGGTCTCCCTTCCTCAAGTCTCTGTATACTCCTATCTATCCTATACACTGTTCCCTAAGTAATTTTACTTAAGCAGAAATCTGATTGTTATTTTCCTACTCAGTCAACTACTGTAGCCTCCTGTTGCCTTTTAAATATAAACTCTTTTGTTTAGCTTTTAAAACCCTACAAAATATGCTACCAACTTTTCTTTCCAGTCTTGGATATTACTCCTCCCCAGCTACACTCTTTGGTTCAGCCAAAATGATCTTACCATCTTCTCTTTTCACTCTCTGCTCTTTCATTTGGTGACCTTTTTAGCTCCCATGATTTCAGCTATCATCTCTATGCAGACATGTCCCAGATTTATTTGTCTAATCCTAATCTTTTCTGATTTTTAAATTTGTATCTCTGTCTGTTGGTCGTTGGTCAAACTGGATGTCAACATGTCCAAAACTAAATAATTTTCTCCCCCTTCTGGCCTCCAACTCTTCCCTCTTTCTGACTTCCCTATTACTGAGTAAGGTATCACCATCCTCATAATCGTTTAGACTTGCAGCCTAGGTATCATCCTCAGGTTGTCACTTTCACCCTCCATATCCAGTATTCCCCCTTCTCTCCTGTGACCTTACCAGTACCCTGATGTAGACTCACATAACCTCATACCTGGTCTGTTGCAGTAGTCTGCTAGTTGATTGGCCTGCTTTAAGTCTCTTTTCACTCCAGTCCATCCTCCATTCAGATGTCAAGGTGATCTTCCTAAAGGACAGGTTTGCCAATGTCACCCTCCAGGGGTTCTCTGTTGCCTCCAAGATCAAATATAAAATTCTCTTTGGTTTTTAAAGCTTATCATAATCTGATCCCTTCCTGCCTTTCCATTTTTATTACTTCTAAATCCTGTCCCTTTCTGCCATAAACTCTGCCATACAGTGACACTGGTATTCTTTCTATTTTTTAGACAAGACACTTTTGAGCATTTTTACTGACTGGCCCCCATGCTGTCTTCCAACTCCAACTTTCTTTCAACTCTGCCTCTTGTCCTTCCTGGGCTCCTTTAGGTCTCAGCTAGAAAGCTACCTTCTGCAACAAGCCTTTCTGTCCTATTAATGCTATTGCCTTCCTTCTGTTTATTATCCCTGATTTATCTTGTATATATCTTGTTTGCCCATATTTGCTTGTGTGTTGTCTCCTCCATTGGGTTGTGGGCTCCTGGAAAGACTATCTTTTACCATTGTATTCTTAGTGCTTAGCACGGTAACTTGTACATATTAGACACTAAAAGCTTTCTCATATCTCATGCCCTGAGAAGGGGCGGGAGATATACTGGACAGTAGCTAGAATAGATGTTTGATAGGGTTGGTTTTTTTTTTTGTTTGTTTGTTAGATTTTTTTTTTTTTAAGGATAAGGGGAGATATGGGCATGTTTATAACTAACAGTAGGGAGAGAGAGACTGAAAATAAGAGAAAATGAGTATGATAATGGGGGAAATGTGCTAGAGAAGATGAGAAGGAATAGGTTCCAGAGTACATTTAGAGTGTTTGGCTCTGGCAAGCTGAAGATCCACCTCATTAACTGAGACTAAAACTGGACAAAATAGTATGAGATAATGTTTGAATGAACTGAGATGAGTAGAAGAGGAGACAAGGATGCTCTAGGCAAATAGCCTCAATTTTTGAAGTGAAGAATGAGGCAAGGTCCTCAGCAGATGGAAGGAGAAGGATATGTAGCATAGGAGAGAAGAAGAGAAGTTTTGGACCAGCCACAGTAGAAAGTGAGATAGTGAACTGATTAGGGAGGAATATAAAGATTGCCTTGATGCATTGAGGGCCCAGTGAGATTAGTTAACATACATCTGTATTGAACCCAGTCAGCATGGTTTCATGATTTCTTCCACTGCAGTTCAAACATTTTAATAGGAGTAAGGGAAGCAAGTTGTAGAAGTAATCCAAAGTTAGAGTTTGGTAAGACATAATGGTCAAATGGGCAGAAGATTTGAGAGTAGAGGATAGTGGAAAATGGAGTTTGTTCGCCATGAGGTCAAGATAAGGAAAAGAGAGACATGTAGCCAGTTCAGATGTAAATGGCCTGGGAAAGAAGCAAGGGTTGGAATGAATATAGGGCAGAGTGAGGACAGAGGATAGGCTTAGGGCTCATAAGACATGGGGGAAAATGAAATGATAAAAGAGTATGATCAGATAAAGGAATTTGAGAGTTCGTGAACATTGAACACTTGTGGATCAAGATTGAGTCTGTGACCATCTCTATGTGCAACTGCAGTTGACTACCAGAATGAGTTATATAAATTGAGTAGACTGAGGAATTGAGAAATTAGAGTATTTGAGGGAACATAAGTGTGTGTGTGTGTGTGTATACACACGTATCAAGTTCAGAATAACTGGGATAGAGAGAATAAGGAATAGGAATATCCTAATTATCTAGGAGTTAAACTCACAGAGTATCAATTATTGGAGAAGAGATCTACTGAAAGAAAAGGTTCAGCTTTATGGCAAGTGGTTGTTGATATGTCCTGAGAAGTCCCAGGAGTTCATATTTATAGCAGACAGGAGCAAGAATAGAAATGCAAGACATGGCAGCTTGAGAAGGCTCAAGGGTTGGATGTAGAGCAGTGCAAGATGTTGGAAGATTTTTTTTCTTGATGTGGGCTAGCACCAGAGAAGGTCCTGGGTGACTATTAAGAGGCAGGGAGAGAGAGAGAGAGAGAGAGTGAGAGTGTGTGTGTGTGTGTGTGTGTGTGTGTGTGTGTGTGTAGTGGGTAAGGAGGAACAAAGCACTTTATAGAAGTGGGGAGGCTGAGTCTTGTCCCAGGGAAGCAATCTGCTAACTTTCCACACAACATTTTCCCTATTTAATTGACTTCTTGAAAAAATAAAATCAAGAATTTATATTGATACCTGCTTAAAATGCATAAATACAATATAGGTATATCCCATCCAGCATCACAAATTTGTTCTGCACAAATGTGATGAATAGAAAAGGCCATTAGGAATGATGTTGGAGAGGGAAGGAGAGAGACAGGAAATTCCCTTCTTTTCTCTTTCATTAAAACCAGCTGGCTGCCATCTTTTAGTAGCCTGTACTCACTGCACTTTGAGAACCAGAACATAGGGAAATTCCTCAGGTACAGGGAGGGGAGACAGCTGCCTCCAGATTGTTAATACAGATAATTTTGTCATAATAAATAAATGGCATTATTTCAGAACTGCATTAGTTGGTCCCTGTTACATGAGTATGCCTATGCCCATTCACATGACATTTTGGCAAATATAAGAAAAAAAATTCTACAGTATGAATCCTCTTTGTCAAATCAAATTATTTCAGCAGAATTATGATTCATTATTATCTATGTGCATTAATAGTTCTGTGATTTTTCTTAGACTTGAATAGTATAATGAACATCATATATATATATAAAATTATTTTTATATATCCTAATAGCATCAATGTGATGATGGAAATATTTGATATTTGATAAGAGTTGGCTCTAAAGTTAAGAATAGTTGAATTTATGATATTAGAAATCATTATCAAATATCTGCATATGTATATATTTTTCAGTTTGTGTCTATGTGAATAAACATGGAAACTCTGGACCTCACCTGGATAAGAAAAAAGTACAACTCCTTCCTGATCACTTTGGACCAGGGCCTGTTAATGTGGTACTCCGTCAGGCTGTTCAGGCTTGTGTAGATTGTGCCCACCAAGTTAAAATGGTTTTTGGATTCCTTAAATCAGGACATCATGGAGGAGAAATGATAACTGGTAATGCTAAGTCTTTATGCTCTTACAGACATTTAGTTTTTATAGTCTTTTAACTAGTATTTACAAATACTGTCAGTATCTGAATTATACTTTAAAATGAAGAAATGGACATAAGCTTTTCTTTTTTAGTGTTGGACCTCAGTGTAAACAAAATTTAGGGAGCTGTAGTATTTTTTATAGAAAATAGACTTACCCATGAGCCAGGTCATCCTCCTGGACTGTAAAATCCTATCACTTTGTCTTTATATTTAGTAAAATGCTTTCCACTTAGTCCATTCATATTCTGGGTAATTTACTTGGTTTCTTTATTTAAAACCTGACGTTACTTTCACCTTGAGTTAAACAACTTAGGTTTTGCTATAAAATCTTAAATATCTTTGTCAGTGTCCTAGTGTAAGCTCAAAATAAAAAAAAAATTTTTTTAAGCTTTTACAAAAAAAAAAAAAATTTACATCTTAAGTATAGCAAGAATACACATATGGGGCAGCTAGGTAGTGTAAGTGGATAGAACTCCAGCCTTGGTGTCAGGAGGACCTGAGTTCAAATCCAGCCTCAGATACTTGACACTTACTAGCTGTGTGACCCTGGGCAAGTCACTTAACCCTGATTGCCTCACCAAAAAAAAAAAAGCCGCCAAACCCCCCCCCCCCCCAAAAGAATACACATACAAACATACTCCCATCTCTCAATACCTGGGGGCATAATCTCAACTTTGTACCACCTCATACTCTGGAAGTTGGGGAGGGAATTAAGTTCATAGCTTAGCTCAGTTCCTTTATAAGACAGTTTCAAGTCTAAAGCCCACCTTGGGGTTGAGTTTCAGGCACCCTAGCTTCTCGGAGCTTCCTTGCAAGGCAGCTAAAATATCCAGCCTGGAGTATTGACTCCGAGGTCACCATAGCATGACACCCCCCCCCCCCCAATCTAGAACTGTAAAGGACAAACGAAACAGCCCAAGACAGACACCCCAAAATCTGTTTCTCAGGATGACTGTGCAAGAAAGAGCAGGGAAAGGTAAGCCCTTTCCTCCTCATTGGTTCAGTTCATGCTGCCCATGCTGTGGACCTTTACCCTCTCTGGATACAGAGGTGTACAGTGGAAAGAGATTAAACATCCCAGCCTGACAGTTTTAAAAGATGCCATCTATTCCACCTGTGCAGCCAATCAGGCTATTCCTATCCATGCAGGAGGGAGATGGAGACTTATCTTCTTCGTGGAGCTAGGCTCTTGCCTTTAAGTGATCTGGGCATGTTTCAACATCCTGTTATACGTTTCCCACCATTTGAAATGTTTGCTATCCCTCCTAATGGCAGGGGACATGAAATAGGCAGGGTTGCATCTTGAATACAGTCTTTGTCCCTAATTCAAATTAGTTTTCTGGCGAAGCATAAGCAGTGCCTTTTCACTTGTGTCCTTTGTGTCACAGAATAAATTCTTAAAACAGCCAATGTTGCACACTCACATACAATCCCAATCCCACATGTATAGATGAAAGTCACAGTTTATCCCCAAATAAAAGTTTTGCAGATTCAACAAAACAAGAAACATCACAAAGTTTACCAAATATCTACATTTATTTAGCCGTAGCCCTATAAGGCCTTTCTCAACCCAAAAGTTAAAGAGCAAAGACAAAGAAAACTGACTCCCTGTTATAGAAGGAAACCTGATCCACACTGAGTTTTCCAAACTATATGAAACTCTCTCTACTCGGTTTTGGGACCTGGAATCAACTAGACATCACCCTTCTCTCCACTGAGAAAACTGTCCTGGGTGGAAATTCTTCCATGATTGCCTCAGGACATGAGGCTGTCCATCTGGAGTCTAGACAAAAAGTGTCCCATTCTACACAGGGCACACCGATGTTCTCTTGGGGTCCACCTCTCTCATGGGAAATCTCCATTGAGACCCAGCTAAATTTTTTCTAGGTCCTTATTCCAAGAAGCACCCAAAATCCCCCTATGCATCCTTGTCTCTGCAAAGGTAAATGGAATTGCAAACTCACTCAACGAGACAATAAGGCAAGTAGACTCAGGTAGAGAAGGAGCAAATAATGTCAACAACTTGTGGGATTTAAGCACAGCCATTCTAATCCTAGAAAGTTGTAGGGCATTTGGTATCATAGAAGTCTAGATCTTTTTAAATACGTGTGTGTGTGTGTGTGTGTGTGTGTGTATACATATGCACATTTATTCAGTAGGCTCATATATGTGTATATGTGTATATATACACGTACATACACATGTTTATTTACTAGGCAGTTGAATTCTACTTATGTAAGCCCTAGATTCCTCATATTAAGCTTAATATTCATAATATGTGTATTCAATAATACAAGAAATGTCAAGGTGGCATAGTAGATAGGACATTGGACCCAGAGTCTATAAGACTTGATTTCAAATTTGGCCTCAGACATTTACTAGCTGTGACACCCTCTGTAAGTCACTCAACTTTTATTTGTCTCAGTTTCTTCAAGTGTAAAATGGAGATAATAACAGCACTCTACCTCTGAGGGTTGTAGTGAAGAATCAGTGAGATAATATTTCGAAAGTGCTTAGCGTAGTGCCCGGCTATTCCCTTCTCTTTTCCAGCCCCCTTTAGATAGCCAAGAATCAACAAATAAAAAGTTTGCAAAATTAGATGAATGGAACTGACTTGTGAGAGAACAGATATTGGAAGAAAAATTCAACTCTATATTTACTGCTTAAAATATATTTCTTCCCAATTTCTCTAGGATTTCAAAGTATAAGGTACCTAAAATTAAAAATCCTAGGCGGAGAATCTTTTCAGGGTCTCTGCAAAGGGGAGGAGCCCTATTTTATCCTAGTCAAGACTTTGCATGTATGAGGGATCATCTTGCCCCCCACTGCCTGAAGGCCAGATGTGCTGTATTTTATTCTCCTCTCCACCACCTTCTCTGGAACTCTTAAGGGAATTGGGTGTTCAGGCTCTTTGCCATTGGCTTAAACCCCCACCAGTAGTATTCCCCTCAATTTGTAGGGGTTTCCCCTGTACCTCAGTTGCATTTACCCACTTAACAGGACTAGTTTTTTGCAAAGGAATGTGTATTTAAAGGTATAATAAGAAATAAACCAAGATATTTCTCAAAACCTGGGACACAGCTCCTTACTGTATCACATTATATTCTGGGGAGGGGAAGGGGTTATAACTTAGTTTAGTTTCTTTATAGAATAGTCCCAAGTTTGAAGCTCAAAACTCCCCTTGGCCTTGAGTCCTAGGCACCCTGGTTTCTCCCTTTCCTGCTGGGTTGGCAATGGCACCACCCAGCCTGGAATAGTGGCTTCAGGGTTGCAATAGCTGAATTATTATTCAGTGGGGATTCCTCTATCTTCCCCCCTCAAAAAAAAACCAAAACCAAACAACCTGAAAAGGACAACTAAAACAAACACCCCAGGTCTGTTTCTTAGGGTCACAGGGTATGAGAAAGCAGGAAAAGGTAGCCCTTCCCCCCCTCACCAGTTCAGTTTATGGTGCCTGTTCTGCCTCTGGACACAGCAGGAAAAGAGCTAAAGTAGAATTTTTTCCTCCATCATTTCAAATATTTCTAATCTGGTTCAGCTTTTAAAAAATAAATTTGCTGTGTTTTAAATGGTAATTTTGTATAGCTGTCATTATTTTTGCAATTCAAATTACCTTCTTTGGTGTAATAATTATAAAAACATATATTTAAGTTTTCTCATTAGTATGAAAATTTGTCAAGTGTTTTCTCCTTTTCTGTATTTTCACTTAGCCTAAGGTCTTATCTGGTAGTGAGAAGCTTAATGTAAATGAACATTATTTTTAAGGGATCCTAGCCATTCTTATTTTTCTCTTTTTCTTAAATGGTTTTTCTTTCTCTTCTAGTGATAGTTAGTTTAGAAAAATAATAAGGGGGGCAGCTGGTTCAATTCCATTTTCAGACACTTTCTAACTGTGTGACCCTGGGCAAGTCATTTAACCCTGTTTACGTCAGTTTCCTCATCTGTAAAATGAGCTGAAGAAGGATAGGGCAAACTACTCTAGTATCTTTGCCAAGAAAACCCCAAAAGGAGTCACAAGGAGTCAGACATGACTAAAAACAAGCACTGTAGTAAGGCAGTGATATAAAACTTTATGTTGATGTTATAAGTTTTCTTTCTTAGCCACTGTATTTTTCAAAGAAAACATAATGGTTGTTCCGTAACCTTATGTGACAAAGGTAGAAAAGACTGTCTTTTTAGAGCACTGTGCTGAAAAGTAATATTCTGAAGGCAAGTAGAAAAGACACAATGTAAAAAAAAAAGGTCGTTTTTAAATTGTCATTATTTTAAAAAAAATCTGATCTCTCTGTTAAGTGTTAAATTATGGTGAAAGTTAACTCTCATTTTTGAATCATACTGAACTTTTCATTTTCACCCCTAATGAAAGGGGGTTTTTGGCACACTGTGCAGTGCCATTTGAAGTAATTTGATAATCTGCCCAGCTGGATAAAGGCCACAGCTCTATTCCCTAAGGTGCCTAAACTTAGCTGTAACAATGATGATGAAGCCTTAACCCAGCTGGAAAAATAGGAATCTGCTTTGACTAATGCTTACTTTTTTTGCTCTCTTTACCAGCATTAATAGTTGAAAGACAAGGAGGAACTTGACCAGAGAGGAAAGGGACTCAACAGGGCTTCTCCGCAATGTTTCTGCTCAGCTAAATTAGACTGAAAGCATGATCTTTATTCTCATAGAAACCTTCTCTGTGGAGTAGAAGAGGGCGATAGCACCAACCCGATTGGGTATAGGGCAGCAGCTGGTAGGGTGTATGACTAATCTGCAATTTGGATAATCTATTAATCAGAAATTTATGATATCATCTCACATTTGGAAGGGATGCACTGCATTTGTAGAAGCATATATTATTCCTATCACTTTAAAGTATTTGTAGAGCAAACAAAAATTAATATTTTTCTGAAGCCATGAAAACAACAAAATTTTAAAAAATAAGAGTAAGTTAAATTTTATAGCCTTTTGGGAAGTGTTTAGTTTTATGTCTTTGCATAAGGATGGTTTTGATTTTTTTTTTCCTCCCTTTTTCTTCTACAGCATCCTTTGATGGGGAAAAACATGCCACCAATCTTCCTTCTGTGAACAGTGCATCATTTGTCCTTCGTTTTCTGGAGAAGCTTTGCCACAGTCTGCAGTGTGATAACCTTTTTAGTAGCCAGCCTTTCAGCCCTTATATGGGAACTACTCATAGCCCTACAGAGTATGATAAGAATAAACCAGGTGACAGCAAATATATGCTGCTTTTTTACAATGTTGCTTGAAGACTGTCTTTTTCTAGACACTTGTATTTATTCAGGATTTAAACTGTGTGTTGAAGTTATTAGTTTACATTATACTAGGTTTACAAACGCAAAGAAAATATCTTCTTTTATGGGAAGTGGAACTTAAGAGTCAAGGCATGTGGGTTTTGTTGAAATTCTCTTTTACTTGGTCATTAGCCTTTCTATGTGCCGTTATCTGGTTACTCCTTAGAAGACCAATGGGGATTAGGAGTAATAAAATAACATTTGAGTAATTTTCTGTGGTAGCATAAAATAAGTTAATAACTTTCATCATCACAACAATAACAAACACATGGCTCCAGATCCTCCAAATTCTGGCTTCTACAGATCTGATTTAATATATCAGTCTATGTCTTTTAAGATCATTATATTTCCGTTCATTGTACTGGAAAACCTCCTCCTACAGCTCTTGTCTTCATCATATTGGCTGTATCATGGTCCTCACCTGCCATATAAGCACTGAAGGTAACAAATGCATAGTAGATAACAGTTTTGCATTTCTACATTAAAGGCAGAGGACTCATAGAAACTCATAAACAAATATAGAAAACCCTAAAGTGACTCACTGTAGATAGCCCCTAAAAATTAACAAAATGCTCTTCCCTGTCCAGTGGGTCCTACTTTTCTACTTTTCTTTCTTCTTCCAAATTTAGCATCATTCTTGATTTAGACTCCCCCAGAAAGGAAAAAATAATTTGGGACTACTAAACAGGCAACACCCTTCCCAGTGGGCCTCTTCTCATGGAAATTGTGCAAAAGCCCAAGCTTTTTTACTCATCCATACTAAGTCCTGTGTTTGCAGTAAGGGCCATGTTGGAGTCACACTCCTTAGAAAATTTCCCTGATCTTTGAACTGTCAAATTTGGGATTACTAGCAAAACACTCATCTCCCAAGATAGAAGCTGCCCACCAAATCATCTTCTGTTCTGGAGAGAATGAAATTCACTTTGGCAGATTTTATCATTAAGCCATGTATGGAAATCCATGTACCCACCAGCTCTCCCACCAAACTAGGAGACAAGGATTCAGGAAGGAAATTGTCCATGAACTCCTCTTTCTGGTTATGTGAATGAATACTTTAAACTCTCGTGTGCTCCAGGATTCTCTACTATTGCCCTAAAAGCTATCATCTTTTGTGCTGTCAAAATCTATTCTCAGGTCTCTAATGTACTTAAAAAGGGAAAAAAGCAGGAACTCTCCTGTCAGTCTGCCCTGGGCAAATACATTTAGCTCCCTTGGTCATCGTAATTCTCAGGGCAGTATGGGGACTTCTCTCTCTCCTATTCTAGGTAGACCAGTCATTGAAACCTGTTTTCTAGGAGGTACCAAGACGTGGCTACAAATCAGTCACAAATCTGGAGGACAAGCCTGACACTGATACTTTATCAGAAGTTATTTGAAGTACTCTTAAGCTACTAAAGGTCATGTTCACATCCTTTATGGGAAGAGATGGCCATACGGAGCTCAAACAAAAGTACACTTCTAGATAAGCTCTTCAAAATGATCAGGGAACCACACTTCTTTACTTTATGGCAATAAATGTACAACATTCACCTACCTATAATAAGATAAGAACGAATGCTGTGGGAGGATTCCTAAATACGGTACCATAGAATTTGATGTTCCCATTCTCCTGTGAGAATTTGACTATTCTATCCTTCAGGGACTGTAGGAAGCAATTAGGAATATGAAGGAAAATCAGATCAAGGCCAGAAAAAGGGTTCTGTTTTCTTTTGTGCAGTTTTACTTTTTTAAAGATTGATTTTAAAAAATCGATTTCAGAAATAGAGATTGAAATCTTTGATCACTTGTGAGATATTAAGATCTTCATATAACTGCCTCATTCACAGATTTCAAAGTAGTTTGTGATTTTTCCATGAACACAGCATATTTGAATTTTAAAACTAATTAAATAACTAGAATAGGTTCCTACTTGAAAAAAATTATATATATACACACATATGTTTATTACATATGCATATACATGTGCATTATGTATACATACACGCATTCACATATATACACGTGCATGTGCATATATGTATTTATAACTCATAATTCACACGTATATGTATAAATACTCATTTTTAAAAATAGGGACCTATCCTAGCAACTAATTCACATGTGTATGTATAGTACATGTATGTCCATAAATTTTCTGATTATTTTTCCCCTCAGTTATTAAAACTTGAAGTAAATAGTTTAAAGTTTATGAAAACTATGAGGCAAAATATGATCTTTTGTATTTTAACTCTACTTTGAAATAGAACTTTTACATAAAGACCTTTGTCATAAATTTACTTAGAGTGAAAAGAATGATTACTAATTACATTTAAATGTCAATATTTCTAAGTTGGTTCCTCTAAATTAAAATTTCTTATCCAACATTATGACTTCTACATTTTAACTTTATGGGGAAAATTTATTCAAATGAAAATCTGTGGTTAGTTAAGAACTCTGTATCCAGTCTACTGTTTGCATATTTCATCAAGAGTCATTTTTCATTTTTAGATTTTTGTTTAACTCATTTCAAAAACTGTTGATGAAACCTTGTTTTGAGTTAAGGATGGTAATGTCTTTTTGTAATATCTTCCAAGATTCTAAAGTGGACCAATGTTTGTTGCTAAGATAGAAAAATAATTAAGGATTTCTTTCTATAGTGTGATATTTTCATTGCTAAAAATAGTTGTATTTCACACTTTGAAATAAATCTTGCCCTTTTAGTTACAAAGATCAGCGGCCCTCTAAGTGGAGACCAGTCTTCCCCCCCGCCCCGGAGGGGTGTAGAATAACCTCAAGGGACATGTAATAAATCAATTAGAGGAGGGGAAGATGGGTCACTTCTGTGTTCCTATAGTCAAACATGGGCTAATCTCTGACATAACTATCCCCACTCATTTTAAAACTCCTCCCACAGCTGCCCTCTTCCATGACTGCCCTGAGATCTTCAGGAAGGTTATAACCTAAACCAAACTTAGGCACCTGCAGTAGCTGTGCAGGCAAAATCTCTTCCCTTTTCTCTGGTGCTCCTCTCCCCCCCAACATTTCTGTGCCCTGTCACTCTCCACCATTATCGTGTAATGGGGTTGGAACTCTACCAATCCACCCACTCCCCCCATACACATGTTTTCCATTTTTGATGAGGAAGAATGAGAAGCCCAGATATGAATGGATTGTGATTACGTTATTATTCTTTCCAAATGTGCGTCTATTCTGAACTTTCCTGTTTCCATTGAAGGCACCACCATCCTTCTAGTCTTCCATGTTTTCATCTTCTACCTTATTCTCTATTCCTCGCTCAATTGAAACTGTTTTCTTCAAAATTAGCAATGATTTCAATTGAGGACCTTTTCTTAAGCCTCATACTTCTTGACTTCCTTGCAGCATAAGATTCTGCTGACCACTCTGGATTGTCATTTGGTTCTCCTACCTTTCTGACCTACTGAGTCTCTTTTGCTGGATAATTATTCATATTATCTCAGGGCTCTGTCTAGGGCCTTTTTTCTTCTCTCTCTATATATATACTTTCATTTGATGACCATCAACTCACATAGGTTTATCTTTATGTAGATACTGACCACATCTATATAGCTAGCCCTAATCTATCAATTGAACTCCAATTTTGCATCACTGGATATTTTGAACTTTATGTCCTATAGGCATCTCAAGCTCAATATGCACAAAACACTCACTAATTCCACTCTAACCCAACTTTCTTCTGAACTTTTTTTTTTTATTGAGGACATCATCATTTTTCTAGTTACTCAGCTTTATAGTATTAGTATTACCTCTTTGCTCAGTATTTTCCTTCACCCCACAGTGGCCAAATCTAGTTGTTTCTCTTGCCATAAGAAAACTTTTTTAAATCCCCTTTTCTTTATTCATAGCCATTGAAGCCTAGTTCAGTTCCTTATTACTTCTCACCTAAAATGTTATAATAGCCTTCTAATTGGCATTTCTACCTGTAGTCTCCAACCTCTTCAATCTGTCCTCCACAGAACTGCTGAATTATTTTCCTAAAGTTCAGGTCTGACCATATCCCTGCTCTTAAACTGTAAACTCTGCTGGCTCCCTGTTGACTCTCATATCAAACATTATTTTACCTGTGTCTCATCCTTTAAAAAATTTCTTTTTGCATGTGAGTTATATAATTATTAGTATGGTTTCCATATATAACATGAATAAGCATATATATATATATATATATATATATATAATATGTATGTATATGTATATAGAAAGAGACTGTGCTCAGTTTTTTTAAAACTGTTAGGGGTTTATGATCAAAAAAGTTCTATACTGATGTAGATCAGGAATACAATAAAGTCCAAGTGGCAACCATTGTTTGGTGGTGGATGCCTTCCCGCATATTTGCTGAATGAATTTCCTTTCAGAACAGTCCTCACCTAAAGTCATCCAGATAGAAGAGTGACAGAGCCATGATTCTAACTCAGGCTTTTAAAATTTAAACCAGAATTCTTGGCTGATAAACTTAAATGTAGTTGTTAATTCTTAAGGTATTAGCTTCTAATTTAAAATCTAACATCAAAGGTTTTCTTCGGGTATTTATATTTTAATGCCGTATTATTGAAAAAAGCAGGGTGATGGTGCTTTGGCTAAGGAGCTGCTTGCTAACTTGTAAGAACTGATCTGGATTTGTAGAGCAAGCTCTTTAAAGGATGTGAGAGGTAAAGCCCACCATGCCACTAATCATTGTAAGGCTAGGACTCAAGTGAAATTCTCATTCTTTCTTCACAGCTCCTCCCCACAAAACAAAAGACAAGTCTTTTGTAGTGTTTGGCTGGAGCATAATGTATTGAAGTACCTTCTGAGACTCACAGCTGTAGACCCTTTGTAGAGTGAGTAAATAACTTGGCTGGCACCTCTGGATAATTAACTTCTGGAAAGTTTGATAGCCTCTGGTGTTAGATGTTGATGAAATGTGCTATAGAAATAGTCTGAGTAAACAACCAAATATTTGACTTACTATGAGTAAATTTTTAGCACTTATATAACATAAAAACATAAATGTGTTTAATGATAATGATGTAAAAAAATGCCTTACTACTTATAACAAACTTTTTTAAACAGCAAAAGAAGAAATATCAGAAAATAGGAGTACTAAAAGATATTCTCAGGATTCTCCACCCTATGCTGCCCCTCTCTCCCCTAAGATTCCTAGAACAGAAGTGCATGTATCTGAAGGTAACTACCATTTATGCATTCCAGAGAATGGGAAAATATTCTGAATACTAAGGTCTCAAAATTTATGACTCTAGATTACTAACAAAGCCAGTTTGACAATTAGAGTCTTCTTATAGGCCACTTTGGTGCTTCATTGTCTCCTTTGCACAGCTATATTTTTCTAATGTGATATATGTGTAGAAGTATACTTTATGGCCAGTGTGTCTGCCTATTAGCTTTTTCCTTGCTGAAAGAGAAGTAGAGGACAGCAGGAAAGCCTTTCCTTTCCAGTGTACTGAAAGTTTTAACTCCAGGTTGTTGATTTTCATTCATCCTTCCTTCCTTCATTCATTCCTTCCTTCCTTCCTTCCTTCTTTTTTTTTTTTTTTTTTTTTACCAAGTAGAAAGACTCTTATTTTGGTAAAAATGCATTATGTTTTGTAGTAATGAATATTTGCAGGATATCCTATTGAATAGGTAATATACTTTAGTTTTTTTTAATTAAACATAACTGGTTATTTTTATTTTCTGTGACAAGAAATACAAATAGCTCTGTTTCTGAATAATGTAGGACATTATAAATTTGTGATATAAAATTTGATGCTAGGCTGTATCTCGTTACACAAAACTCCAAAGGACAGTCCTAATTTGTTATAATAGAGATTTGTTACATTAAATATTGCTTAAATTTTGAGAGGGCTGGATGGAGATATTATTGATATAGAGAACTGCCAGTGAGGAAGCCAGTTCTATCAGTGCTGATTGGCACTTGCTCTGCAATTTCTAGTTTTAGATTGTTTGCCTGGAACATTGAGAGGCTGAGTGACTTGTATAGATCACACTGCCATTTATATCCCAGAGGTGAGACTTTGACCCAATTCTTACCAGTTTTAAGACTGGGTCACCATCCACTTTACCACATTATTATTATCTTATTGCTTAAAAGAAATAAGCTTATTGCTTGGGAGTGGGAAATCTTTTTTTGTAAAGAAATTACATTATAATGGCTTTTGTTACAAAAGCATATGATATGTAAGTCCATTAGTAAATAACAACCTTTGTGTTTGTTCTTGACTATAGCAGAAATATTGCCAGCTGAAGAAAGTGGTATGCCCAAAGAGCATAGATTTTCTGAACAATCCATGGATTCATCATTGAATTCAGGGAACCCTTCAAGCCCTGCCTGTAGAAATCCCACAAACTGTCGTACCTCAACAAGTACTACATATTATAGAAATTCTCTTCAATCAGTAACTACTACCTCAAACTCAGTGCCAGTCTTACATAAACTGTCATTGAACCCCGCTGGGAACAATTATTATGAAGGCAACAGGAGCCGAATGCAAAGAAGAATTGAAGGTATAGTTCGTGTTATTTATATATTTTGAAATTCAGTTTTATTTCATTTTCAATTTTTTATTCCCTCCTACCTCTTTTCTCTTCACCCTGAAAGTAGGCAAGAAAAACAAGACCTAATACAAATATCTATAGTCGTGCAAAACAAATTTCTATATTAGCCAAGTCCAAAAAAAATATCCTGGAGGTATGGTTTAGAAGCATTGTTCTACAGATATATTATCTTGCTGCTTTTGAAGACTTTTATGATCTCTCCTTCCATTGTTCACAAAAAGTTTCAAAATCATTCAATTAGTAAGCATTTGCTAAACACCTACTATGTGGTAGGTGCTGTGGATACAAATACAAAGAATACAATAGACCCTACTCCCAAAGAACTTACATTTTACTGGGGAGACCAATGCTGTAAGTAAGTATATACAAAACAATTAAATAAAGAAAAATACAAATAGGTGTAAGGTAATTAGGGACGGAGGGCCCAGCAGTTGGGAGGAAAGGTTTCATGTAGAAGATGGTGCTTGAGCTACATCTTTGAAGGAAAAGACAGATCCTGTGAGGCAAGTTGAGGGGTGCAATCATAGACAATGTATGAGAGATGTTGTCATGGGTTAGCAACAGCAAGAATGCCAGTGTGACTGGCCATCGACTGAGGGGAGAAGTAAAGTAAAACAAAGCTAGAAAGGTGCATCAAGGCTAGGTTGTGAAGGGCTTTAAAAGCTAAATAGAAGTGTTTACATTTGATCCTAAGAGCAACTGGGAGGCACTGGACTTTGATGGGCATGGGAATTACATGGTCAGATTAGTCCTTAAAGAAAGTCTCTTTGGCAGCTGTATGGAGGATAGACTGGAGACTTTAGACAGGAAGACTAACTAGGAGACTGTTGAAATTAACCAAGTGAGAAGTTATGAGAAGAAAGAAGAGGTCAAAAATGAGGAAGGTAGTGATTTGACTAAAGATGGATGAAACTAATCCACCCAATTCACATAGCTCAGTTTGTCGTTACCAACATCAAATAGCTTTTGTAGGTCCACAATGTTCATCCTCACAATACCCTCTGAATTCTACCATGCCAACCACTTCTTTTGAAAAATACTTCTGTGGTTAGTGGTTCTTAAACGGTTTTATCCATAATTTCCCTAATTGTTGTTTATGTTGTTTCATTATCACTTAAATATACATACATATTATTACTTTGCTGCTTTATGTCTTTTGTCTTCCATCTTTCAGCTCTCTTGAACCCTAATCTTTTACACAGCTGAAGGCAATGATATTTCCATGGAGTAATGATGCTTAAAATTCTAGCTCTTTGTTATTGTGGCTATGTTTTTCAGAGCTTCTTTTAGTCTCTACGAGAATGTATATGGTAAGGAGGTCATTAGGGAAACAATTTTAGCCTGGTGTTTCTTCAGATAATAATTATGTACGCACAAGAATGTGAGACAGAAGGAAGGGAAGAAGAACCAGTGAATATTTGGAGCTGAGAAGAGATGTGAGGCTTTTCCTGTGAAAAGAGGGAGATCGCAGGAGGAAGCAGCATATTTTGATCTAAAGAATGATGATGTAGACCTGCAGGTGCCATTAGATGCTCTTGTTGTCCAGTTATCCAATAATTGTCAGACAAACAAGGAAGAAGACAAGATTAATTGTGGTTGGGAGATTCCTGCAAACATGATTATCCATCATTGTTACCTCTTGTCTGACAAAGAACACATTGAAACTAGTTACACTTGATAGCCACCACCCACTTCTGGTGGTTATCATTTGGGGATAAATGATGCCACCAGAAGGAATCTTGAAAAAAATTGCTGAGAATTTTGATGTACTGACAGAAATAAAACTCACACCTTTAAGATCCTTAATTGTTGTTTTTTTTTCCATAACTACTTCTTATGGTAAGTAGGTGATTCAAAAAGGAAAGATGGATTTGGGAAGTGAACAGATGGCGAAGAAGATGGCCTTTGAGAAAAGGATTTTTATTTCTTGATAGTGGCTTAAAATTGGGGAATAATATCTCTTGGTCAGACATGGAGTATACTTAACTAAAATGCTTTTAATATTAAAACACATTTGCCTAGAATCTTTTTTCAATTTTGTTTCATTTTCAGTTCCAAATTCTTTCCCTTCCTCCACCCCCGTCCCCTGCCCATTGAGATTGCAAGAAACATGATGACCATTATACTTATGAACCCATGCAAAATATATTTCCTAATTAGCCATGTTCCAGGAAAAAAAAAAGTAAGAAAAACAAAGAAAGGAAAACATAGGCTTCAGTCTGTACTTAGAATTTATCACTTCTCTTCTGGAGGTGGATAGCATTTTATATCATGAGGCCTTTGGAATTGTGATAGATCATTGTATTGATCAATGTTACTAAGTCTTTCACAGTTATTATATTTACAATGTTGCTGTTTCTGTATAGATTGCTCTCCTGGTTCTGCTCACTTCATTTTGCATCAGTTCATATAAATCTTCCCAGGTTTTTCTGAAGCCATTGTTTTTTAAATACAGTAATATTCCATCACATGCATATACCATAACTTCTTCAGCCATTTTCCAATTGATGGACATTCTCTCAGTTTCTAATTCTTTGCCACCACAAAAAATGCTGCTTTAATTTTTGTACGTATAGATCCTTTTAAAAAAAAATCTCCTTGAGATATAGAAATAATAGTGATATTGCTGTGCCAAAGGGTATGCACTTTTATATCTCTTTGAGCGTAGTTTCAAATTGCTTTTCCAGATGGATGGACTAGTTTACAGCTCCACTAGCGGTGCGTTTTTTTCTCACATTTTGTCACATCTATATACCATTTTCTCACATCCCCTCCAGCATTTGTCATTTTCCTTTTTCCTGTCATCTTAGCCAATCTGATGGGTGAGAGGTGGTACCTCAAAGTTGTTTTAATTTGCATTTCTCTAATTATTAGTGATTTAGAGCATTTTTTTCTTATAGCTATTGATAGCTTTGGTTTCTTCTTCTGAAAACTGCCTGTCGATTTCATTTGACTATTTATCAGTTGGAGAATGGCTCTTATTTTTATAAATGTGGCTAGGTTTCTTGTATATTTGAGAAATGAGACTTTTGTTAGAGAAACTTTGCTCTAAGAATTTTTCCCCCAGTTTCCTGCTTTCTTTTTAACTTTGGCTGCAGTGATTGATTTTGTTTGTGCAAAACCTTTTTAATTTCATGTAATCAAAATTATCCATTTTACCTCCTATGATCATCTTCATTTCTTTGTTTGGTCATAAACTCTTCCCCTACAACTCTAAAAGACTCACGATGGAAAATGATATCCACATCCAGAGATAGAACTATGGAGTCTTGAATGCAGATGGAAGCATACTGTTTGCTCTCCTTTTCTTTTGTCGTTTTGTTTTATTGCTTCACTTTTGTGGTTCCTCCCATTAGTTTTAATTCTCCTTTGCATCATGACTAATGGGAAAATATACTTAATATGAATGTATAAGTAGAACTTTGATCAGATTGTGCACCGTCTTGGGGTGGAAGAAGAAAAGAGAGGGAGAGAAAATTTAAAACTCAAAATCTTATGGAAGTGAATGTTGAAAACCAAAAATCAGTTATTTAAAAAAAACTCTTCCCCTGTTCATAGATCTGACAGGTAAATTTTTCATGCTCCCCTAATTTGCTTATGATATCATCTTTTATGTACCATTTTTTAATTTCTCTTGGTGTAAGGTCTGAGATGTTGGTCTGTGCCTAGTTTTTGCCAGACTACTTTCTAGTTTTCCCATCAGTTTTTGTTAAATAGTGAGTTCTTACCTCAATAGCTGAGATCTCTATGTATTTGTGAAATGAGACCTTTAGCTGAAATATTGCCTATAAAATTTTCCCCCAGTTTTCTGCTTTCCTCCTAATCTTGGCTACATTGGTTTTATTCACACAGAACTTTTTTAATTTGACATAATTGAAATTACCCATTTCACATCTCACAATGCTATCTTTTTTTATTCATAAATTCTTCTCCTGTCCATACGTTTAATAGGTAATGTGCTCCACGTTCTTCTAGTTTTCTTATGATATCACCCTTGATAGCTAGGTCACGTATCCATTTTGACTTCCTCTTGGTAAATGGTGTAAGATATTGCTCTATACTCAATTTCTGCCAGACTGCTTTCCAGTTTCCCCAACAATATTTACCAAATAATGTCTTCTTATTCGCAAAGCTTAAATCTTTACATTTGTCAAACACAAAGTTACTATAATCATTTACTATACTTTGTGTGGATGGGCTTTTTTCAGTTGTTTAGAGGATTGTGTTGGGAGAGCTCCACAAAAATGCTCATTTCACTCCATCATCTTGGGTACATGATATAGTAACAAAAGTGATACTGTGGTGAAAATGGTACTGTAGACCATACGGACAGAAGGAGAAAGTAAATGAGAATCCGAGAGATTACAAATGTGCCATGGAAGCATATCATAGTGACAGAGGACTTTAATTATCTGAACATCTGCTGGGGCTCTCCTACTAAAATCTGAGCAGCTGAGAAATTTATCACTTGCCTTATGATAATTTCGTTAATGATGATGATAATCTCCCTCAAAACCCAACCAATCATTCTTGCCAAGAAGGGGCAAGGGGAAACAGCAAAATAAGAGAATATTATCGTGATGAACAATGGGGATTGTGTGTCCTGAGACCACTGTAGTGGCTGCAGGTTAGCACTATAGCCATTGTGATGTAATCTCTATGAATTTAAGCACTGAAACGCCCTAATGATGATCAGTTTTACACAGAGCACTGCTGAACATATGACATTTCTTCATATTCTGGTACCACAGAAATGCAAGATACATAGGAACAAATCAGAAATACTAAATACTCATACTTTAACTACTGTGAATGTTTTGGCGCAAGTGTTATTGACCTCTAAAGAAAGCATATGATGAGTGTACATGAAATAGACTGAAGATAAGTTTTTTTCTTATGTGACAATACTAGAATATAACAAATTTGGAAGCAGATCTTAATCAGTATAG